GTCCGGTACGTATGGCGATGGTTCGCGCTGGTACGGTGAATGATACCACTTCACAAGTGCGCACACCCCGTTATCAGTGTTGTACTGCGTACTGACAAGCAGTGGGCCAACTGCAAACAAAATTTGCTTATTAGTCAATATTATTCCCTTAATTATTTGGATTGGTGAAATCTTGCAACTATCCCGTCAGTACCAACATTATTAAGACAGTCCGGAAAGTTGGCATGAGGATCCCATGTTAATATTGCTATTGTTAGTATTGCTATTGTTACATTTTTAATATGAAGCTTTCTTAAAAAGCTATTCAGAAATATCAAGTTGCCTAAAAGCTCGTCGCAAATGCTTTTTTTTTTTGTGAGCTTAAATCTGCAAAAACCTCCAGCTCGAATAAAATTTCTAAAAAATTTGCAAATTTCTTATAACTTATACCTGGTGCGTTAAGCTCTTCTTCCGCCGGCAACGACTGTGCCCAGTCGCTCATCACCGGACCGCCAAATCGTCCACTCGGGCCAACAGCGGTTACCATGAATCGGTACTGCATGGATGGCACCATACCTTCAACCTTGAAGGTAGGTTTCGACTCAATCTGAAAAAGCTCATATTCCTGTTAAAGGAGAAATGCAGAAAAAACCTGCGAAAACGAATTTTAGGAAATCCTTGGATTTTGGAACAGCAGTGAAAACTGGTCGAATCACAGATGCTAACTTTTAACATTATTGAGAAGCACCAAGCTAAGGGAAGCTCTTGAATCTTTCTTTTTGTCCGTTTCAGTCTCTTCCGTTATAATGCTGTTGTAAAAGTGCATCAACGTTCGAAAAGTTTTCACTGACCGAAGCAGTGATCCATCCATTTTCTTCCGTTGGGCTACCATCATAGGTACGTTGCTTCCATTGTACAATGTAGCGAGTTGGATGGCGGTGTTGCTCGTCAAGATCCACAAAAATGAGCCCTTCAATGGTATCTTCATAATCGTCATGCTCCACCGATCCCAAATCCATACAGCCAACACGAACACTACGAATCGGTGAATTCTCTGTACGACCTAAATAAAAATAAATGGTACTTATTTTACATATACAGAAACAAGCTTAGTCGAAAGCGTACTGGCTGCCGGTACGAGGATGGTTTTTTTGCGCAGTTTTCCCGCAGATTTTTTTCACCAGTGGCACGCTCTTCGCGGCAGATGCTTCTAGCTAAAAGAATTGTGACTGGCCACCACGACTGTTAGAAATTATTACAATGACTCCCAATCCACGCCCAAAAAATTCAGCGCTCTGGATGCTTCGGTTGCGAAGTTACGCCAAATTTCACATGTTCGTACGTGAGTAGCAACGTGAGTGTCTTGTTTGCCTGCGGTTACTTAAACACGGCTCTAGGTAATGCTCAAAAAGTTTCAGTACTCAAACTTCTCTGGTTGCAGAGTTACGTGAAATTTCACGTGTTCGTACGTGAGCCGCAATGTGAGTGCTTTCTTCGCCTGCAGTTGGTCAAACACGATCCTGGGTAGCGCTCAGAAAGTTTCAGCACTCCAGCTGCTCTGGTTGCAGAGCTACGTCAAATTTCATGTGTTCATACGTGGTGGCAACTTGAGTGCTTTCTTCACCCACAGTTGGTCAAACACGGTCCTGCGTAATGCTCAGAAAGTTTTAGGACTCTAGCTGCTCTGGTTGCGGAGTTACGTCAAATTTCACGTGTTTGCACGTGATACTTACGTGAGACGTGAAAGTGATGTGTAAGTTGTTTTTGCGTGCGTCTGGTCAAGGGCCACCATCGGTTTTGCTCAGAAAGTTCAGGGCTTCTGGCTGGTTCAATTTTAAAGTTACAGAAGAGCGTGCGTGGAATTTTCACGTGTTCGTACGTGAGATGGAGAACAGCTGACAAGTAATTTATTTTCCCGGACGCAACAGTAGGCGACAAGTAACGTTGCAGAATTGCAACTCTCTGCAGCTTATTGATCACCTTAAATCTGGAGTTGACATCATACCAGTTTAAACTATGACGTGTGGGTACGTGAGTCCTGAGGGTGCGTGAAGGATGAATTTGAAATCTTTGGATTACACGCGGCCAAGAAACAACTCTGTGAATTTCCAGCCTTCTAGCATGGGCTGTTCCCGAAAACGCTTTATCGCCAAAAAAAAATTTTCACGTGCCTCTAGGTGAGAACCACGCGGATCTGAGGGCCCATTTTGAGGATACGAGCCCGCACGTAAGTCACCAAATTTTAAGTTACCGAAAAATTTTAAGTTACCAAATTTTCAGCCTTGTAGCTTTTGTGGATCTCGAGATGAAAACTCGTTACAGACGCACACACAGACACACATACACACTCACACACAGACAGACAACCCCTCGACAATATGCGTTTTTGCATTGCATAGCTGCAAAAAACGCAGGAAAACGTGAAAATGAATCTAAAAGAAATGCTTAAAATCTCTTTGGAATTTTGAGAGAGATTTAAATTGTGAAATACTTGACTAAAATTTTTTTAAATTGTGATAAAATTTCTTCCAAAATTTGCTAAAACAGCGAAACAGTACTGAAATACCGAATTTCAGGAAAAAAAGCGCACTTTTAGATTTGATGCTTCATAATTAAACTGATACTATCCTCACCAATTTTGCTGTGAAAGATTGGGAAAAAGGCGCGTTTTTATTGTTTTATTGTTATAAAAAATGTTATCTCCTTTCTCAAGCTTCTGGAGCTCGTCCAAAAAATTAAAGCAGTAGTCTGGGCAGTAGGTGTTAATGGAATACACCTAGAAGCACGTATTTCTGTTACGTACTAGATATGATATTGTGTGGCCTGAACAACGAAATAGACTATTAAACGTCCTGAAAAAGATACAGATGATTTCTATCGCTTATTAATTTAAAATTACAGCGCTTACCAGCATAGGCATTAGTATCCATCCAGAATTGGATGCCATTGCTTAGCGCATTTCCGGTACCATTGTAATCTCTTCTTGAAACTGTCCGCCGGCGATTACAGCCAGCAGTACACTGCAAAAGCGATTCCAATTTGTTTTTTATAAAAATGCGAAGGAAAACACGAGAACTGACATCAGTTTTTCTTTTCTCAGTGGCTCTACTTAAGCCTGTTATAAAAATGAAATCAAATTAAGAAAAGGGTTAAAGATCAAAATAAAGTATACCCAAAAATTCTTTCTGCTACCTTATAGCAAAAAGAAAATAAATCTTAAATTATAATTTTATTCACTTCGACATACAATACTGGCCTGAATTCAGACTCACAGCTGTAGCTCGGGGTGAAGTAAGCCCCAAAATTTAACCGCCATGATTTGCCGCGGACCACAGACACAATTTATTTGCTTTCACAAGGTTTCATTTAAGCATCCCGAATTCAATTTTAGGCGTAAGGTCAAAGTTCAGAGTAAAGAAGGTTTTAAAAGGGTTTTCAAATCCGCATTTTTGCGGGTGCCTTGACTGTGATTTCATAGCTTTAACTTTCAATACCGGATAGTTTTGAAGTTGAATTACTTAGGCACCGGCGTATAGGCGTACAAAACGATTTTTCTATAAGATAGTTTCCAATTAAGCAAGCCTGGCAGGCATGGCGCAGTGTTAATTAGCGAAAATTAGCAATTGGAAATAGATGATGACAAAACAATCTCTAAGTTGTTTTCTTGCGGGAGTGAAGAACTCGATCCCGCCAATGAGAAAACACTTCCACCATTCATCTGTTTTAATGATAAATTGGTACTGACATATGCTAGAAAGTCAAAATCGCCCTTAGCTTACTTTCCTGCAGTACTCAAAAAACGAAGCTAACGAAGCTACCGTCCAGATTCGTGCTATTTCTCTGGATAGGACGGGAATGAATTTTTTGACTTATATGATTTTTACATAAAAAGATTGTAAAGACGAACAAGTCTATATTCTTGACCATCGCTACCATAATATTCGATAAATGTCCCATCGTTTAAGCGCCGCTTCACTAGCTTGCCATACTGAAAAAATTAGCCAAACAATATTGTTTGACTGAAAATTCAACTTCAGCCGAAGTTTTTTTTAACATTTTTTCGCCACTTTTAGCTCTCTCCTATTTGCTCTTCCTCAGTCTCAATATTTGCTTATTAGATTTAAGCTGAAATATAAACTCTATTCAGCACAACGAGAATTAAAACCCTTTTTGCTAGCTAATTTAAGAGTGGAGGCCAAAGAACGCAAAGTATTTCATTGAATTTTTCAGTCTAAGGATAGTTATTTTTGGTTTTAATTTTTGCCTCAGACTCCGTTCCAAAGCACAGTTTTTCACCAAAGAGCTAAAATTGCCCGTAAAATATTAATTTTAAACTTAATTATTTTAAATTCAATTATTTCATGCCTCTGTTACTGGCATTTTAATCAGTGGTCTGAAACGATTGTGGAATGCAATTTAAATTAGTGCCTGGAACAAAGCGTTTTGCCGAGAAGTGGAATGAGCAAGAATTACTGCCGCCTCAGTGAATTCAGTCGTTGCCACTGCTTCCTCGGGAACAAGTATGAAGACGATTCCTGGTTAATTAATGAGGAAATTGCTAATTCAGGGGCCCAAAATGGCTGCAAAACTTTCTTTTAGCTCGCATATCAGTAACTTTTTGTCTGTGGCTTAAAATAGCTGCTCTAAAGTAGTCTGGTGGTCCCTGATTTTTGTATTAATTAATCCTCTACATGAAGTAATGAAATCTATTCTTTTCAGCAAACTTGACAAATGAGGTGTAGTCCCTGCTAATTCATCATGAAAACGAATCATGTTCGATGCTGCGCAGTACCTTTCTTTTCCAAAAGCGAAATGTCTTCCTTCTCAGCTCTTTGGCTTAGACAGTGAATTCTATTAGCTTGTCCAAGCACTAAAAGACTACAGCATTGGCTCGAGTCGTAGACAAATATGATCGCCTTTCTTAGACAGAGACATGTGAGGTTATGCGATTCTGAGGTTAATTTCATGGTGCTAACAAATTTACCCCATTGCAAATGCACTGTGCATTAATTTAGCCACTTAGACCTTAAATAAAATTACCTTTTCAGCACATTTCGCATCGCACTGTGCCAATCTGAAGTAGTGGACGAAATCGATTTGCACATAAGGTAGAACGGTGAATGCTTTCGGCGTTGCGGCAAAAAGCAATATGAGCACGGATATTTGTGTCCACATTCTGAAACTCGAGAATTGCCGAAAATATATCAAATGTATTTCGGAGCCAAAATAATCGAGCTTCGATTGACCAAACGCAGCATGTCACATTTCGAACACTTTTCATTGGAAACCAAAAACATCTCAATAATCCATTCTTTAAAAAAGAAAAAAAAAACACTCAAAAGTAGCTCGAGCCAATAGCAGCCACTCGCTAGCTTGATCTGTCCCTTTCCCAAAGGCTTTTTAAAGCGGGCTAATGGTAGTTCTAATTGCTTTGACGAACTCATAACTAGTCCAAAAACACACAACCGACACAA